CTATAGCGTTTACGCGCTTCTATTAACCATCCTCTGTATTTTAAAAGTTCACTGTGGATTGGGGCAGACCACCCATCCACCACTTCAAGTCATTAACTTTGAAGAAAAGCCCCATCTGCGTTCTTCCCATTGCGTGTTTCTATCGGGACCTCTGTGGTGTGCTGAAAGTTCTTCCAAGGGAATCCTACCCAGAAAATTCATGAATTCTTTCCCATTATGAATATGTAGGTTGTTATCACTAGAGACAACATACAAAGTTAAACGCACAAAGATTCTGCTCCAAAGAGGAACCCCTTGGAGAATAGGGACAAAACGATCGTTAGAATAGGACGCAGTAGAAAATAGAAATGTTATTGTCATAGACGAAAAAGCGAAAAAAAGAGTTCTCAGTGGAGGCACTCCGATAGCCAAGTGGCTTCGCTCTTATCGTGGGATCCTCCTTTAATATATGCTCCAAATTTCATCTTATCGTGGCATACTCCTTTAATGTATGCTCCAAATTTCATCGAGCTTGGTTACTTTGGTCAGCAGTGAGATATCATGCGGAAGTTACTTTAGTCCTTAAAGGAGGAATTCCTGATAAGAACGAAGGTCAAGAAGGGGAAAATTGCTAGTTGGGAGACAGGCGGACCTCCTGAGGGTGCTGACCGACGCGCAATTGGCAGCGAAAGATTTGACCTCGGCGATCTAGCATGGCTCACTCTTGGCGCGGTTGGCGGGGTACGCCCACCGACTATCTAATCACTCGCCGCAGGTCTATACGTGGCGAGTGATTAGATAGAGAGCGTAGTGTTGAAGAGGGCACAGCGATGAGAGTCGCATCAATGCGCAAATCAACGGGCAAGGAAGGGGTCCCATTTCTCGGGTTCTGGGCCGTTTCTCATGGTTCTTCCTTCTTTCGTGTACCACTCACCATCCCTAATTAATTTGGGTTGCTTTTCCATCGTGAATTCGTCCTTTAAGTCACAAGAGAGACCAGGGATTAGGCCCCAAGAGCCAGTCCCTCCTAGAGTGAAAAAGACGGGTCCCCAAGCGGCAGTAGAGTGACTGTCGCGACTCAAAAGTGCGAGGCAAGGCGCTAAGGCCTTGCCTTGTGTGCTGCCGTGCTGCCATCGTTATCAACCACGGCATACGTGGTCTCTGCGCCCTCTCGCGTACGACGTACTCTCTCGCGTTTTCCCTCTCCGTCGTACTACGGCCGGCCTCCTAAGGGAAATTTAGTGTTTTCTATGGTGCTTTTTGCTTTTTCTCCTCACTAATGTTCCTCATTGCACCCCTTGCCTAATTTTCAAACAAAATGAACGCATCAATTCAATCCCGACTCGTGCCTTTAAGTTTGCTTACCAGTGTAGAAATATTTTGTAGCCTTGTCTGAAAGTATAAACCAAGTAGCGTGATGCATCACGAAAATCACACGATCGCAATACATAGGTGATAACTGATCATTAACTGTTTCATAGCGATGCTCATCTTCGGAATAACAAGCGGCGACATCCATCGGCGAATAAATATTATATTATGGTAGATGGTGCGGAGTTGTTACATTTGTGACTTGGAACAATTTATTTCTGTATTTTATATAATAGTTTTTGAATGTGTGCAGCTAAAGGCATACTCAGAAATAACAAGCTAGCAACGAATCTGAAATTTGATCGAAGAAGAAAAAAGGAACAAAAAATGATAAACAACCTGACGCATAAACAATCTCCAATGGGCACATCGTACTGTGAAAACGAAAAAGAGAATATTCACGCAAACTCCAGGTGAAAATCGAGAATTTTGGCAACAAAAACAAGACGCATAGGATGTGATCACTATCGGAAAATGAATCGGAGACACCTGACTTCATGCAACATACGAATCAAAATTGAAAAACCACTTAAACATTCACACACGCATACAGATTCGGAAATTGCCTTGTCAAAACAAGGCTATCACCAGTGAATTCGACTGGTAGTTTATATTGCAGAAACCAATGTGAATAAAGATAAATTGACGGATTGATTCTGATGCCAAACAGCCTATGTACTTTAGACCGCTTCCTTCTCATTACTTTCCTTCAATGCCGTCATTTCCTCGGCAGTCGGGCGAGGCTCACTGCGAACCCTGAAGCATTTCACATGATATACCGTAAATTCACAAAGACACTAGTAAAAAAGCTCTGCAAAACAACTCAAAAAGGAGGTTACGCTGTAGCCTTAAACGTTATTATCCGCGGTAAATCTGAACGGTTTCCTAACGGCAGACTGCGATGAAAATTAGCACATTGGAACTAAAGGTGTCATTGAGCAGGGCATGAAAGAAACCATGTGGGAACGAACCATGAGAAACGACCCGAAACCCGAGAAATGGGACCCTTCCTTGCCCGTTGATTTGCGCATTGACCATTCACATTCACCGCTGTGCCCTCTTCAACACTACGCTCTCTCTGCCATCTAATCATTAATTTGACCAATACCGTCTTCTATATATTTAATGATTTATTCACCTCCTACCTTTACGATTGTTTTTTTTTGCACGATTTATTACCATATACATGTGCCTTAATTGTCAACAATAGCTAAATAAATAAATAATAAAATAAAATCACTCACCACATATAGACCTGTATAGACCTGCGGCGAGTGATTAGATAGTCGGTGGGCGTACCCCGCCAACCGCGCCAAGAGTGAGCCATGCTAGATCGCCGAGGTCAAATCTTTCGCTGCCAATTGCGCGTCGTCAGCACCCTCAGGAGGTCCGCCTGTCTCCCAACTATGCAATTTCCCTTCTTTGACCTTCGTTCTTATCGTGAATCCTCCTTCAATAGGGCATTACATAGTGATTCGTGAGTCTGCTTGGAAGCCCTTAGCCCTTAGTCCCTACGCGCCCCCGCGGTCTCATTTTGAGCATTGCTCACTGTTTTCGGAAGTGTTGGAAAACTTTCTTTCTACATGTAACTTATACCCGAATAAGTGAGCCATGTAAGTAGATTAAAGTGGAGAGTTCCACCAACGATTAGGGCTACAGTATCTCATCATCAAACACAATGTGCATAATTGACGCATTGCGTTCAGGGTGGAGCCAGCGCGATCAGAAAAGCTCAACCGCAGGTACATAATCACTGAGTTGCATACATGGTGAACAGCAAACAAGATACGGTCGCTTCCTGCCACGCTTTAGGCACACCTACTTCCCGAGCTTAGATTTTAGTCTTCTCAGAAATACAGAGCTCCGAGGATTGCAATCCCTCCCATGACAATGGGCTCCATTTAATATGCACGCTAAACAACATCAAAAAATCACGTCGTCGATGACGCTCACAGCTTTCTTTCCATCTTATGGTTAGATTACAAGGGAACAACGCTAATAATACAAGTCAATGATCCAAAACTTTTGCTGACCGCGAGGCACATGGGTAACGGCACAGACCCGTACGATAGTTGATTAGCAGGACCACACCAGTTCTAGAGACCCGCTGAACCACACTCGTCCAACGGTTTAGAACTGAAGCTACCAGGGTTGTGGTGTCAATGTCCGCGATCCCGCAGAGCAACGATAAATCAATGAAAGTCATCAAATCAAACAAGCTTACCGATACGGATAGATACTGTAAACGAATACAGCTCCTATGACGAAACACGCGCCCACCACGAAGAACATCGTTGGCCGGAAGTTGAAGAGAAAATATGCGAGAATGCAATTCAACACAATTGCAAATGAGGTAGCGAAAGCCTTAAAAAAGAATATTTAGAATATTGTCCTTTTTCACATACTCTCATAGCACGATAACCCTTTCTGTGGTCTGCGCAGTGATTTGTTCTCAATGCACATAATATCCAGATGGTTGCATTATTATTATTATAGAGTTACCTACTTACCGTAATAAAAAACAAATTTGCAAAATTCTGTATTGCATCTCCAAACCACTATGACACATCTACTGTCAGAGTAGTGCAAATGAGTAAGAGAGGTTGGAGACCACAATAAAGCATCAGGGGAAATTACTCAAAGGTTTGTGGTGCTCACGGATCAGTAAGCGAAGGTATCGTAAGTAGAGCAGGAGAGGAGTAGTCAGTTGCTGTTATGCCAGATCAGCACGTTGAACAAATTGTATTATGCTCATCGATAATGAAGTAACTTAGGAAAAAAAGGTTTACGGCGTTGCATGATTATAATGCACCCGTGTGAAACTCTGCGCATGTTTTCGGGACAAGCAGCAGAAACAATTTTTCTAGTATTACCAGCTTACTCCTCACTATGAAAAACCCTAGGAGCGAAATTTTAGCGGGAGCAGCTTTTCTTTTAATTTTTTTAATAATTATTTTTCAGTTTTTGCGCCGTTTCATAATTATAAGGCCATCTTCTAAAGTGATGACCTACTAAATAATTGATGAAACGCACTGTCAGAAGTCGCTTATGTGCACTCATTATTAGAATAAACATCATCCATAAGTAAACTGAAGAGGACTCAGAGAATTAAGGGATGCTAAATGAAATCGTCGTCGTCGCAATGATAGTGTGAACATTCTATAGACTCCAACTTAGAACCACACGATAAGTCTTTATAGCTCCAGAACAAATCATTTGGCTTTCTTTCCAAATGCGTTAGATGGAATACGCATTCTTTGTATCGTTGTTTATATATATATTATATATTACAATGTATATCCAGAACGGAACGATTCGTAACCCGGCAACGTGGTACATATATGGCTCACATCCTTCCGCTTTGCTTCACATACATAGAGAATATCTCAATTGATCTCCACATTGGAACACTCCCATAAATTTGGTCACCTTCACATAACGGACTTGTTACGAACCTCGATACTTTTTTTTGAAAAAAATAAACCTACTCAAATTAAGATCTGATTCTACATCTCATCATCAAGGACAGGTAACGCGCTCCAATCTCGATGCGCAGTGTGACTACGAGCGAATTTCGCATCATCTTCCCACAATTGAGCAGAAATAAAAATAGCGTGGCAGCAAGTATAACAAAGGGATTTGATGAAGATTTTCGCCACGGTTGCGCAACATTTGACGGGCAAGGGAGTGAGAGGGGAATCACAGTGACCAAAAACATACTTCCAAACACAGTTCGCTTCTCAAAACGGTTTTCTGCATTATTATAGGGAGCACGCGTGTGCAGCATTCAGTCGAGCATCATTTCCTTCTGCGCGGCTCTAGGAATGCCAAAAGTAAGTGGGAACAATGGCTTGTGTTCGAACCTCACTGAAGAGGATTTTTTGCATTTTTCCGATTTCCACTTTCTTGCGCCCACACGTGTCTAAACTTTCACTGGACAAAAACTGCTAATGTGCAACTATCCAACGCTGCAAATGCTGCAGAGGCAATCCCAGGACCGCTCAAGAAAAATTATTATCAGTTTTATGCTCCACGCACGTACCTCTACAATAAGCAAAAAACCGTTGTGAAAAAGTGCTCTATGTTCGGAAAGACTTTCCTAGTGAGAGGCAAACCGAACTCGAGCTAACCATAAGACCAATGGATCATTTTCCGTCGGGTAAACTTGAATTTTACTGAGGCAAACGCGTGTGGGTTAGTTCAATATATCCCGCATATTGTCCGATTTCAGCAAGAAGTGCTATTTCAGACTGGACGAAGGTGCTAAACACCGAAATATTGCAAGACATTTTGGGAAGTTTTCGAGAGTGAGTCTTTTGAAACTTTTTGAAATAAAACCTTTGGAAATTTTGGAACCTCAAACTGTTGTTCAACATTTGTATCATGCAGTCGTGAAAGCAGCGACTGTTCAATTGCAATTGCGGTGTATCTTCTCCTCAAATCGAAAAAGAGCATACTTTCAAGATATTATCGGCGAATTTGATGACAACGGCGACTACGAGACCTCCGAACGCCGAGATGGCGATCGTAACCCATACAGCCCAATCGAATCCAAACAGCATACGACCCCATACGGCCTCTGGAGCAATACCATCGGCAAATATGACGCTGTTGTCTTTCACCTAAGAAAAGATTTTGAGAATACGTCCCTTCACGTCTGTTACTCGTTGTTACAGTATTGAAGAATAAACCGGGGGTATTTCTACACAGCTGTTTCGCGAACGGCGTTGTGAAAACAACCCCAGGAGAAAAATCCGAAATGCCTGCTCTACAACTTTTCGAAGGGAGTGTCGCAACATGCGCGAAGACTTCTGCGATACAGCATGAGTGTAAGTGAAATTAGTCGACGAACCATTACGTCACCATGTTACTCGATAGGCCGATGTCATAGTTTGCGAATCGAGCGATTCGCTAGCGAATCGCTGGATCCGAGCGTTGCGCCAGCGAATCGAACGTTGCACCAGCGAATCGAACGATGTACCAGCGACTCGACACTGTTTGAAAGTGGCGGGACTTCCTTTAAACGTTGGGTCCCGCCACTTTCAAACAGTGTTGAGTCGCTGGTACATAGTTCGACTCGCTGGTACATCGTTCGATTCGCTGGTGCAACGTTCGATTCGCTGGCGCAACGCTCGATTCGCGAACTATATACCTCGAGCTTAGGCCGTGCCGCGACACCGCGCGAACTGCAGCTATCGCCTCAAACTTGGCCAAAATGGATATAGACTCATGAGCAAGTAAAAAGAAACTAACAAACTTCAAATCGGATATTCACGACGTCGCGAACAAACCAAGATGATCCCAACGAATATTGATAGAGCACAGTTTATATCTGATTCAGACAGCTACACAACAGCCTTCTACACCGACGACATCAGAAGATTTTCCCACGGAAGCATTGTGCGCGGTACGATCTCAACGAGGTCGTTGAGATACCATAGACGATTACGACGTCTCTGAAACGCAGGTCAAAAGCGGTTTTGCACATTCACAGCTAATGTCTCTGGGAAGCTATTCAACAATTAATTCACTGAGGAAATTGTGTAGCAGCTTCAGGTCGGAGCGATTTCGGTAAGCCTCGTTGAGCTCGACGGTGACGGCAGATGACGTCATATTCTGGAGACGGCAGGGGCAGTGAAGGAGTGCTTGCTTCTGTTTACGGAGGAACAACTAAGGAATATAACGCCATAAAACTTTCATTAACATCGGCTCCCTGTGTGACGAAAAGTTCGACTGATGACAACATGTGAGAACACGCCATGGGACTGAGTGTTCTTTTTTGGCCACCCGTAAATTCATGAGCAAGTCAAAATGAAACTATAACACAAGAAACAGCATAGGGAAGATATGGCGGAAAGAGTAGTTGATGTTTCGATCCTATGAACGATTGATCCATTTCAGATTTTCAAAGTACGATGCAGGAATCGAACGGCAGATGCTACCGAACGCATTGAACCTGACAAATCAAAATAATAACTTCCTATACGGATTGAAGACAAATAGGGTACAAGGAAAGAAAAACACAAATTTCCGCCGAATTGTGGCCTTAAATCGTTTGATATTCGTAATGAAATCAATAGGTCTGAGATTCAAATTTTCATGCTAAACAGTAAATTCCATGCGCATAGAATTATAGCCTTAAACTGGATAACCGGTTTACCTTCATAATAGAATTATGTCGTGAACTTCACGCTTGGGACGTGCTATCTCATCCAATGCAGCTGGTGCGAGCGTTGTATCGTTAAACATCTCTGGTGTAGAATCCTTCAAAACACATTAGATTTCCTTGGTATTGCGCAGCATTCAAGAATTATTCATACAAACTTCGGGTTATTTTTTCAGTTATGAATGCCCTCGTTTTTTTTCAAATGAAAAGTCTTCTTACCATAAGCTTTGTGAAAGCGTCTTCAATAGTTGGCATGGCAGTTGTCGAAATGTCGTTAGCCATCGCTGCAGCTAATCGTTCAGCCTTCTCTCGATCATTTGACATTTTCTGATCCTGTAAATAAAAAAGAATGCACAGTGAAAGACATTATTTCTTGATTTTATTGTCACCCTCTCCCCGCCAACCCCCGTTTTTCTTTAAATTTCACAGAATTGTCTATGTCATCGAATGATCGGGAAAGGGTGAAACACCATAATATGACGTGGGTCTCCTCAACAAATTAGCAAAAATTGACAGATAGCTTCCACTAGGACGAATAAGACTGTACTACCCACTCAAATACAGCAGTAATCTTCACGCAACCATTCACTGAGCTCTACGACTCGACTATCGTAGAGATAATAACGTTGCTCAGCTTTTAGAGCTCGTGTAACTTTTCTGTGATCTTTATAACATGCTCCTTGGAAACGCTACTGCGGCCAAATAATGCCATAATTCCCAGCTTCAGAACCGCTGAAAATTACACAGGGCTGAAGTTTTACTCATTTTATATCCAGGCTTCGTTAAGGATGATGGAAGGAGAAATTGATCGCCGTTAGAAATGAAAGTAGATGAGGTAATGGTGCAATAGTGAAGGAAACATCGAGGAAAACGCCTAAATCTAGCGGAACAGGTTTCCCACTCCAGTCGCTGAAATTCGCGCTGGACGAGGTCATATGTGAATGATTTGTGGATGCATTGGTCATGCGATTTTGCGATGACCGTTGGACCAGAGCGGTTACCGACTGGATCCCTCGGGACGTCAAACGAACACCTGGACGACCGCCGGCCCGATGGTCAGACTTCTTCACGAAAGCTCTGAACGAAAGGAATGAAGGACTCGTGTCCCTCGAGCAAGGAGGATCCACTGGACTCTTGCACGCGACAGGGACGAATGGAGACGTTGCTGGCGCCCGCTCGAGCAATTCGATGATCAACGGGACGACAGGTGATACAGGTGATACTCTTTTACTAAAACTTTCTCTCGCGCAGTGTTAATGTTGCACTATTATATTGATTATTTATTTATGTATGTCTTAAAGGCTGACATTACGAAGACCTGATCATACTAGAAAGAACATCCTGGCCGCTAAGGGAGCGCTCTCCGCCGCGAAAGCACCGCGTCTCAGCTTGCTTAGCGCACAGGCTTCCTTCGCTGTTGACAGATTCTCCTTTTGGTTATCCAGTTTATCACATCACTTGCCTTTTAGAGAGTCGTAGTATCTTCTGGGGTAGACACCAAAAGAATCTTTTTTTTTTTAGCGGGCAAAACCCACATTCTCTTACGCCTACCAACAAATTTAACAACCTGGACGTGTGCTGTATTTTTATGCTGGCCCTTCACAAGCCATCTTGGGATTGCTGATTGGAGCGAGTCGCACGCAGTCTTTCATTTGCGCAGGCGGGTGCCTTTTTTCAATAGGAGTTTGGGATGTGGTGGAGGTGGTGAGTGGGGATCATGCCTTGCAAGGGCGGTCTTTCAGGACAAAAAACGCTTTTTCATAGCGGCTTCTTGCATATGTATTGTACGGACGGACGGACCACAAAACCATGTTTCGTTTTCGCTGAACGGTTTTGGTGGTACCAAAAAAGCTGTGAAAGATACTGTCGCTGTTTCGGTCCCGGCGGCGACTAGATTTTGCATTTTAGGTCCAGAACTACGAAGGTGTCAAATCGCGCTAAATATCAAAATCAGATGTCAAATTCATCGTCAGGACCATTTTGAAGCCAACAAGTGGCCGCCAACCTTGATTGCAAAATTTAGTCGCCGCGGGGATCGAACCATCAAGAGTATTTTCACCACTTTTTGGTACTACTAAAACCGTTCAGCGCGAAAACGAAACATGGTTTTGTCCCTACATGCGTCCCTACAATATGCAAGAAACCGTTTTGAAAAGCGCGGTTTCCCCTGAAAGACCCCCCCCCCCCCTTGTTAGAATAATGACGAACGGGTGGTCCAGAATGGTAAGATATGCTCGAGGTTAACAAAGGTTTTCTGACCCTTCTGAGATTTTCAATTTGCTTCCTTCTTCTTCGCTACTATTTTTTGACGTAAAAAACTAACTGTCATAGAAATAGTGAAATTGAATAGGAAGCTTTACAGGTGGTGTTTTTATTGGACAATCAAGGCAAATTTGCTTTTGACGTCGATTGCAGCGAGAATTGGTAAATTGCGCTTTTTCATTGCAATTACATGTTTCCTAAGGTCGGAATTTTACCATCAAAGCCCCGAATGATTACTGCGCGTCGATTATTGCTGATTTTGGGCCATTCACTTTTTTGCGTATTCATCTCTCAAAATTCGCGGCTGTGAAGTGAAGCCACTGCCTGAAGAAGCGGCCCGTCCAGCGCGGCTTGAAAAGCCTAAACTCGCCGTGCAGTCTCGTCAATGTTAAAATGGTAATAAAGAAATGAAGCAACTCACATATTGAACTATCGCTACGCCACCAAACAAAAAGAAGAGCGACACCCACTTGCTGAATAGATAGTTTTCGACCTAACACTAACACTGTGAATACGGCTGTCGTAAGAATTTTCAGTTGATACGTGACCTAAAAATATTACTTTAGGGCAGGATATGGTGCATAATTAAAACAAAAACAATAACGAATCCTGAAGAAATACCATATAAGTAGCAGCCGGTAGATTCTCCACTGCAACATAAAGTAGGAAATTCTGGATCGTGTAGACAACTGCTGGTACCAGAACTTTTAGCGCATCACGCCAATGGTGTACAAATTGATCATATATTTGAGCTAAGCCCCTAAAGCACAACCGCTTTACTATCATAATTGCCTACTGACTGAAAAATCTAATCGTTATCTCTTCTAATTTTTAACGCTTACATCGAATTTTACTTAATAAATGTGATCCAGAATGACAGCTGTCCGGGTAGCACGGCAGGTCTCTGCGGTATCTGTGGATTTCAGTGATTGTGGGTGGGTTTGAACTCCCACATGTTCAAATCTGATCGATTTATCCTTGCTAGCTTGAGCAAATATACAACCCTCACTCTTTAATATTTCTTCATGGGGCTAGATACCGAGTTGTCCAGAAAGTCATCCGACACTGTGAACACGTTCTTTGAGAGAGAACCGAGATCTTTTTCACTTGCCCCGCATTTCATTAGTGTGGGCCTCCAGAGGTTTCAGTGGAGCAGTTCAAAGGCTTCGCACTATGTTTTGTAGCTTCCGAACTCCTCCCTGATTCATCTTGGCTAGGCCATCTTTCGACCTATTCTATAGTACGAGTTTTGACAAGGTCATTGTGCTGGAGTCGCTGCAGCTAACATCTGTGCTGTGGTTGAGAGGAAGAAAGACCGTTCATCTGGAAATAGTGTCCCCATTGGTCTCAAGGCTATGCAGCTGGAGATATTTCGTTCGAAGAAAAGCTATTTTCTGCTCGAGCATTTACTAGAGCTCGTGGAGGGGCAGCCGAATGCTACCAGTCATAGATAAACGACATGCTGAGTTGCCCTCATTCCACAATTATCGAATATTTCGACGATCTCGATCATAGTTTAGTATGTTCGCAAGAGGTATAGAATGGGTTGGCCGGTATGAAGAGACGAACCGAAAAATCGTGGCTGAGAATTCCTTTCTTCATTCGCACCAGAG